TTTTTGTGGGGAATGAGGGGATTTCCTGGCAGATCCGGTTTTGGAGGGGTTGCTGGGCCTACTCAGGCCTGGGGGCTGGTGTGCGTGGCACAGCCGTGCCCTTCCCCAGCCCCACGAAGGCCCCTGGAGGGTGAAGAGGTGCTGGGGCCGCCGGGGGTGAAGCACCGCCGCGGTGCAGTGTTGTGGCAGACTGGGCGCAAAGGCCACGGGGCGTTTTGGGACCCCAAGGACAGCCTTGGCTGTGGGAGGCTTGCCTCGCCTCGCCTCACCTCAGCTCCGCGCTATGGCAGCCCGGTGGGAGCATGGCCTGTCCCCTGTGAGCAGGCCAGCCCTTCCTCCAGAAACGTCACGGTGAGGGGAGGCTGGCATCCAAAACTTTGGGGCTCCAGCCCCGTGGGGGCCAGCAGCGGCAAGTGGCACCGGGAGGGCATGGGCAGCGCTCCAGGAGGCTTCTCAAAACCCAGTGAGAGTTGGTGGTGGGCAGTCTCAGTATTACGCATTTTAGTAATGGTGTTGTCTGTTTGTGTACCAGTTCTCGAGCAGTGGTTTTGTACGTTTTTGGTCCATTGACTTACAAGCAGTTAACTCTGACGTTTGCTGGTGTGAGAGAAGCGGAGGCGTCACGTAACCGTAACCGGTCGGCAGTGCCCTGCCGGGGCTCCCTTGTGCTCGGTCCCCAGGGCCTGCCAGCGCAGGAGCTCACATAGAGAAAGTCACTTCAGTTAGCGGGAATAAGCAGCCTACCGCTGACCTTTGTTTTATTTGGGGGGAGCGTCTGGGAGGCTTCCAGGAGTTGCAAAAACAACTACCATTGACTCCTCTTTGCTGAAGTGGTCAACGTACAGGTCAAAGCTAAATACTTTTCCCTTGACTGTGAATAAAGGTGCTAGCAGAAGAGGAGTTCCTTGGGATTTGTGTTGGCACCTTAGATTGTTGTTGATATTTCTGTTTTGATGCAGTACTTGGGCTTTTAGTATGCTGAAAGATTTCCGAGTAGATCGAAAAGCTGAAGCACTCGCTCCAGTGAATTTTGTTCCTTTCTACAGTGGGAGCAAAGCTGAGGTGCACGTTGGGCCCCCATGAAGTTAACGTCAATTTCTGCTGGTGTCAAGGCCGGTGTTTCATGTCTAGGGCCTGAGCAGTTACCCCATCCCTCACTTGCTCTTTTGGTCAGACTTTGCCCTACCATGTTGGGGCGGGGGGTGTCTCTTTGTGGTCATGAAACTCAATTTATTAGAAATACAGTGAAGTCACAAGGACAACATTGCTAGAAACCCAGATGAGTTCACTCATGGAAATGAGGTTCTCTTGGTATCTTTTTTTCTCTGTTATTTTTAGTTATTTTTAGACCTTGGGATTAAATTTCAGAAAAAGTTAAACTAATGCATAATTGTGGCATATCATACATTTCTGTAATGCATAATAGTTAGCAATACCAACATCTTATGGCATATCTTTAGATTTGTAATGCTACTTTTTTGGTTTGTTTTTCAGAGACTGCAGATGGTAAATATATTTCCCCATTTCATGACATTCCACTGTTTGCTGGACCTAAAGAGGTATGTATTTATGCCTTGAAACACAATTAATTTCAAAATGATAGCAGTTTTGTTGGTATTCTTCAGGTAAAAATGCAGTTTTTAAAAGCTTTCTTTTTTAGCAATTAATAGAGAAATGTATAGCACCAGAAAGGACCACTTTAACCCAGACTGATTCCTTATGTAATACAGGCACAACAATTCCACCAAATTTTCTCTGCTGAGTTCAGTAACTTGCAGGGAAACATAATGATTACTGTGTAGACATGTCCAGGTGTCTCTTAAGGTCTGCAAGTGATTGAGGACAGAGGGAACCCTCACTCTGGCTTTGTGCTAGTTCTCCTCTGTGTTTAAGATTTGTGTTTATGTCCATCTGAATTCTTTTTCTACTATTACTCTTTTTAAATTGGCATTTTTCTACATCTGCAATTAAAAGTGTACATTTTCTTGTAGAAGGAGATGTACAGCACATGCTTACGTAACTTACGATGTATTGCTTTAATTCCCAAAAGGAGTATTATAATTGGAAGCCAACGATAATGCCCAAGAGAGAAGTGGTAGTCGCACCTTTGGAGAATTACAAGGCGTGAGGTGCAGCTGAGCACTTTCACGTCTTGTTAGCCACACTCCCTGGAGTTTCATTATAGCAATAATGAAACGCCTGTTTTATGTGTCACCGGTGGGAACTGCCAGTCTTTGGTTTAGACTTAGGTTTGCTTATTATGGTATGCTTGTTACACAAACAGGTTGGGAGGATTTGGGCTGTTTTCTTGATTTGTTGCTGGGTGATAGGAATGGTGAAAAAGGTCAGCAGTTGTAACATGTTCAGATTGAGACTTCTGAACTAATGAATCAATCTCTTGAGTTATTTAAACTGAGAGATTAAAAATATGCATGAAACCTTTCTGATCAGCAGACCCTAAGCGTGCTGGTCAATGGAAGAGGTAAGTCTCATTCAGAAAGTCATTAGTAAGATGCTCTGTTCAGTGGGTGCTATTGCTAGAAAAGCAATGGGCGTTTTCTTCACACGTTCCCTGAGGGCCTTGCTGTCCCTGTGTATAGAGTTTAAAGTTCGGAGAGGTGGATTATAGTCTGTGATTTTTGTGTAGATTAAATTATAGTACAGCGATGTCTAATCAGTGTGGAGAGGCTTTCGTTTTGGTCTGTGAGCAAGGAAAGAGCGTTCCACAGGATATAGGGGCCTGAGGGGGGAGCAAGAAAGGGGGAGTCATTGTGAAGGTCTCTCTTAGTTTTGCCTTCTTTGCAAGAGGAGGAGTTGTATAGTATATTCTTTTCCTCCCCTGGTCTAAGCTTTGTAGACATTTTTTTATGAGGGATAACTCCAGCCTTATTTTCCATACTGGTTTTGATTGTTTATTTTGTTTTTTATCTTTTTCAACTGAACAGAAGGATGACTCTGTGTTTTTAATCAGTTGAGGACAGGCCTAAATCGCCACTTAAATTTTTTTTGGTAGCTGGGAGAAAGTGGATGCGTCCTTGTACAGTTTTATATTCTTCTGTTAACATCTGGAAGGTTGTAATTTCACAGTGAAACAGAACTGAGTACATGCTTTTAAAAGTTATAGTTTAGGCCTTTATGCTCACAAAGGGGTGTTTCAGTTGCATTGAAAACTGCTGTTGTCTGTATGGGCATACAGTATTGCTCTCTGATGTTCTTTACACACTTCTTTACTTCACTTTTTCCCTGTAGGATAAAGAGATTCCTGCAAAGAGGTCAAAGACTACTGGAAATGAGGTACTGCGAAGCGCCTTTTTTTAACTATTCCCTCTATTTCCTTTCCAACACCACTTTGCTATTCTGCAAAGTGAACTTGCTGTCACTGAATGTAGTTGACATATCTTCAAATGCAAGCCTTTTAGGAGGAGAAGGCTTAAAGGGATTTAATATTCTCCTCTTTGAATGGGCCAGAAATGTCAGCATTCTTTTATTCATCAAGATGTTCTCAAAGGCAAACACTTTTATTCCACTCTCTGAAAGGTTCGTTATGACTATTGCAGCATAGATTCGTTAATCTTTCTTGCTATTGCATTCAGAAACATTTGCAATAGAACCCTCGTTAATAAATATTCATTATGCTATGACTGTGGGTAATCTTTGTATATGTACAAAACTTCAGAAATCCTAAGTATGTTAGGGCAGAAATTAGACTTAGTATCTGCTTTTTAGAACTGAGGATATGTTCTTTTCTATACTCATCTGGGAAGCCCAAAGAGAGAAAAATCACATCTGCTAATGGTTCAGCATTAACCAGCACTGAAGTTAAGCCTAACAAAAGCCCAAAAAACCATGGAAGGTTTGCTGAGGCTTTTTATGTGTAACAAGATTTGTTTCTGCAAATCTCTTTTCCAAAAGGTAGCATTTTTTTGCAGAGCTTTCCCTGGCATGGGAGTACCTAAAACTTAATAGAAGAAAGTGAAGGAGAAAAATGAAATGAAATATGCTTTAAAGCCATGATGTGTGGGCATGTGGAGCTGTGTACGTGTGTGTCCCAATCTTTATCTTGTATCTGTTTGGCCAGTCATACTGCAAAACTGCAACTACCCATCTGATGTGAAAGAACTCTCCTAACTGTCTGGGTTCTCATAGTTTTGCAACTAGTGTGTGGTACAGTGGTTCTTCCACTGTACAACAGTCCCTGCACAATCCTGCACTATATGTTTCCTCTCCCTTTGCCCTGGGATTCATTCAAGGTACAATGCCTAGGTGACACTTTTTAGATTTCCTGTTGTTTGATGCCCATTAGGTACAATTTAGTGGATGTTGATTCATGCCTGAAAGATGAATTGTTGAGGAGAAAGAGTATGTGCCAGTAGCCTTTCTCAAAAACCATTGTCTTGCAACATGAATTCTTAATTAGTGCTCTTGCTCTTGCTGGCAGCCAAGTATTCTGTTCCTTACCTGCTTATGAATACTGTGACAATACCTACTGGTTGCAAAGATGCAAAGCCTGTTTTATGCAGTGTTTAAAACTGTTCAAAAGTGCATTTGTCTGTGTAGTGGGAAGCGTGATAACTTGTTGAAAACGACGTTTCTAGCACCCTTTTTCTGATGTCTGGATTGGCCTGTGGAGCAGGGGAAAAAATACCAGTGAGGCTGAGCGACTCTTGCTTCCTGGGCCAGTGTGGACTCCAGAGCTGCTTCACGTAACTCCTGCTTTGAGTGGGTGGTTTAATAGAACTACAGAAAATGAGCAAAGCAAATGTACATTCCAGTCTTCGTGGGCTTCTGATATGAGTAAGCAAACTAATGTGCAGGCTATATGCTTCCCAAATATGCTTGGTCTTTACTTTGATGGTGAAATGTGAGAATGCAGATCATTTAGAAAACTCTTTTTCATCATCATCTTTGGGAGTTGGGGAGAAGAGAGAAAATAGAGGGATCTTTGTGTTCAGGAAAGTGGTTTCTTCTTACGCTGGGCTCTTCAGCAGCTCACCTCACCTTGGGCTGGTGAGAAATGCATCCTTATGTGCTTGTATGTAGGG